AACTTCACAGGTTTGGTAACGATGCAGCCATCAACGCATCTAAGCGTATTAAGGGGTGTCGTCAAATGCCGTTGCCATGGTGACAGATAATTCGCCATCAAGTTAGTTCACAAGTTTGCAGTTCAAATATTCTGCGGCTTTTCCAAGCCTTTTTACTTTCTTTTCTTCTCTCATCACACATTCAAGCCCCCACTGTTCATGTATCATTTTAATCTAAATTCTTCACTTTCTTCTTACACATTACATTTCAGCATAGCAGTTTAGCATCACATTTTCAGCATAAAGCATTCCCACTAGCAATTTCTTCAGGAATTGCATTCTCTAGTTAGTGTTTAATCTTCTGTATCTTTTCAGACTGGCTCAGTCATTCCCCAAACCCATTGACTCCAAGCCCCTGCTATCTCAGAGAGAAACCCCTCCATCAGGAACCCTGCAGCAGCGCGGGGATCGACGCCCACTGAGCGAGCCTTTTGATTGGGCCGAGGCCCCGCACTACGACAACACAGGATTTGATGCTGAGGAGTCTCCTATGGACCCTTCATCAACCAGTCAGGGAAACCCCCCGCTGGGCTCCAAACCCCGCAGCCAGTCAGCACACGGGCGGCGCCCCCTCCTCAGGCAGGAGCGGATCGTAGGGGTTCCTCTGGAGCTGGACACTCAGACGCTCCCCTTCCACGGCAACCAACGCTCCACTCCGGACAATGACCAACAATCATCCGGACATTCTTCCCAGAATCCCTGGCAGAACTGGACTAGAACCCCCAGTCCCCTGGAGGACCGAACCGCTTTTCCCTCCAAACTGGACCTTACGCCCACATCCAGTCCTAACCCTGATCGCAAGGATATTGACCAAAGGTAACTGATTGGAGCTCACATGGTCCTGAAATGTGCATTTATATTATACATCAGGCTGGGGGAATTATAGTTTTGATTTGTCCGTCTTGATGCAGATTCACATAATATGACAACTTTCGGATTTTGAATAATTTAAATTCAAATACTTACATTTTAATGTAATGTTAATAATTTGATTGATAAAGTGATACATCTGTAATGACAGTAGTTATTATCTGCAGCCCTAATAAATCATGTTAATCTCTGAGTGTCACTGCTGTATTACAAACCAACTGATGTTGGCTGTAATATAATAATCTATACCAAAATAGTAGCATAATATGTGCTTCATATTATTATGAAGCTCCTGGAACCCCTTCTTCATTTTTGGTTCAAGGCATAAGGAGTGTCAGCAATCTTTTTATTTGTTCTGCTTCTACAACACTAGTCTAGTTAAGCAATTTTTTTTTTAACACTTTACCTGTTTTTGGCTCCAAGGCTGGAACAAGGTGCAGGGCCTTTGCCCGGCAGCTGGACGTACCACGACAATCAAGGGGATCAGAACAGGAAGGATCAGCTAAGTGTTAGCGGGGGCAACAAGGTCACCGTAGTGATGAGTAAAAGCTCGGACCGCCTGTCCCCCATGATGAGGGAGACGAGATCTAAGTTTAAGAAGTCACAGAGTATCGATGAGATTGACATTGGCTCTTACAAGGTCTACAGGTAGGTTTGCTGTTATGTTTTCCTAACAACAAGAGAAGCAACATGTTGAGTAAGTAGTTCAAGGGATTGCAAAGATGTAGCTGATGTATCTTGCTGTTCTCTCAACAGCATTCCTGTGGACAGCTACAGTACCTCAATTGAACAACAGACTAGTTTGGACCGTCAAGAGTTTGTCGGGTCAATGGAGCAGACCAACATGTCACGGTCACAGTCCGCCCCCATGTTAGACGATGACCTGATCTTCCCAGGACACGGCGGCAGCAACCAGTCGGGACAGAACCAGAAACCTGCCATCCCACATAAGGCCTATCACTTCGACCACAACTACAACCCCCAGGTCAGCAGCTCAATCTTCAACCTGCAATGACTGTCATCCTTATCATTTTGTTCACTTGAGGGCAGCAGAAAACAGTTGTGAATACCACATTGACAGATCATTTACCTGTATGGTGAGCTTGTTAGTTAACTGTTTTTATACCTATTAAACATCCAATAGTTAAAGAGCAACATTGTTTAATTTCGAGTTGTGTCTCTGGAAACCCAGGCTAATATTTATTTTCTTATAGCTCTGCTCTTGGGTACAAACTCCTGAGGGAAATATCTGGCACTTTGACTGCTAATTACTCCACTATCCCACCAGTGCTCATTTGTTTGAATATTTTTTGTTCAGATAGCTGAAGTGTTAAAGTTGCCTGCAGCAAGGTGAAAAGATAAACTTTCCGCAGTCAGCAAAGATAATTTCCAGGGGCTTTTAAGTCACTCATATAATTTACAATGTTCTTGCAAAAATAACTCAACTAAAACATACATAAATTGCAACAGTTGTGCCTGCAATGCCTATAACTTCTCATTGTCTTACTGGTTACTATTCTAACCTATCAGGTGACCATAGACCGCCGGGTCCCTCCCCCCTTCCCCAACACACCAGATTATGTCAACCACTCATCGAAAGCCTTGGAGTACATCAATCAACCGGGGAAGACATTACCAAAGGAGCTGGTGAGCCCTCGGTATCGGGCGTATCCACCACTGGAGATGTTTTCTTTCCCCCAATCACCAATCAATCCGGATGGTCCGCCCAGCCAGCATCAGCAGCCAATCCCGTCACAGCGCTCCAGGCCAGGGTTTTTGAGAAGAGCAGATTCATTGGTGAGCTCCACAGAGCTTGCTTTGTTCCGCAGAGTCCATGAAGCCCAACAGGAGGCGCTGCAGGAAGCTCAGTATAGACAGCAGGTAAGAGATCTGTTGTTGGCTAAATAATGCTTATTTTCAGTGTTTTAGTATTACAAAACAAGACATTAATTCATCCAATCAATAGGACCTACAGAAAAGCTGTCGGTTCAATTTATACTGTATCGTGCATCCTCCAAAAATACATTTCTGGTGAAATGTAGAGGTCCGTAAGAGTTATAGAAGTAAACTCTCTTGTCCTCAGGCTGACCCCCCTCTTTATGGTCGGGCTCTGGCCTACTCCTCCCCCATGGAGCACTCTGCTATCTCCAACATGTCCGACAGCCAGAGCCAGATGATGCACAATAAGAGAAACGGCCGCTACGATGACGACTATACAACTTACCAGGAACAAAAGAAGCCCATGATTGGTTACCCAACAAAGAGCCTTACTCAGCGCCGCCCCCTGTCAGCCAGGAGCTACAGCACTGAGACTTATGGAGCATCTCAGGTAACATTTCTCAGGAAATGCCTTTGTAAATTGTTTAAGCTCTGTGTCTTTGCATGTTTGTCCCACTTAAAGTCACTAATTTGTTTTAAATTGCAATCCCATAATATCCCCTTGTAAAGTGTGAGGCATGTATCAATTAAAGCAATTAAAAGACACACTTTATTAATCCCTTTTTGGGAGTATAATTTTCACTCTGTTGTAATTTTAACACATTACACCCGAAATACACACATGCATAAACAAGACCTATACACATACATTAATCAAGAGCGAGGGCGCTACAGATGGTAAGGCGCCCTAGATAGTTGAGGGTTCTGTGCCTTGCTCAAGGACACCTCAGGAGGGCAAACTGGCCCCTCTCCAGCTCCTAACTCACAATACTTATTTGTGTCCGTGCGCCCCCTAGTATAAGGATCACTGAGCAGCTATTGTATACACGACCTGGGGAGCAGTGTAGGGGTCCACTGCCTTGCTTAAGGGCCCCTCATCACAAGTTGTTCCAGGACTTTATCCGGTTTTGATTAGTAAATGTACTTTTACATTAACAGAATAGACTGAATAAAAGAAGTGGACGTTATCACCGTAAAGTCGCGCATTTGTTTTATGGACCACCATTTTGAATCCTCAAGATTCGTATTTTGGCTACCGCCATCTTGGCTTTTTGAAAACAGAAGTAACATCAAGAGGGTGTTGGTTTAACGTGGAACAAGACTTTGATACTGGAGACTGAAGGTCTACACCCTGTCTCCTTACAAAACCATTTATTTCCCACCCTTTTCCAAGTAGATTGAAAATGAAACCCTATTTGGGTAATATGGAAGATACTGACAAATAGCCTACTTAATAATAGAGGATTGAGGTATTAAAGTATGTATATGACTGAGTGGAACCACCAATTACATTGGTCCAGGTCAATGTAGCAGCAGGCTATGCAGAGTAGCGCAGGTGTGTCCTTTGCTTCTGCCATATCCCCAAGACCCCCTGGCATTCCTACATCCATAAATGATCCCATCAGCATGTTCTGGATTTGCACCAAGTTAGACTTTCCAAATATAGTCCCAGGTGAGGTGAGGTATCGAGGAGCATGCTGGTCAGATAAGCAAATCACCTCATGTGGAAACCCCTAAATGGCTGACAGTGTGGCAGAAATATTTGTTATTATACAACAAAGATAGTGTTATTCAATGCGCAGCAACTTACAGTAGCATTTTTAAATCAATAATTATAATACATTTAAAAAAACGTTTAATAATCAATAAGATTTTTTTTCCATTTTTTTTTATTAAGTCATTCAATCATTTTTTTTTTATTTGACAGCCCTAAACTGTTAGCCATGCTAATAGCTTGGCTCTAGGGATTTTAATGGGTGCTAATCCTCAGTGGGTTGGTCCCTATCATACTTAATAGTCCTTTTTCTACGATTGTCTAAAAAATATACACTGCACTAACAACTATATTGATAAGTGCAGCTGTTAATTGTATCACTCTCAAGTCCAACTTAATTTCTTATCGTCTTTATAAAATAATAATCTTCAGGCCCGTCCAGTGTCAGCTCGTCCCACCATGGCTGCCCTGCTAGAGAAAATGCCCCCTGACTACACTCTGGCAACCTGCCCAGAGAAACCATCTGAAGACACCATCAAAGTAAGACCTGGCGTACCACAGAAGCCTGAAGACATCACCTCCAGGATGCCTGCCGATTGGAGGCAACAGCTACTTAGGCACATAGAGGCCAAACGATTGGACAGGGTACGTCAATGCAATGCAGAAACAGTGAAAAGGGAGATGCAAACACACACACACACACACACTCACACACACACACAAACACCAACATGCGCACACAGCATTCAGAAGCCCTCCTTGTCTGTATCTGTGTAAGTCTGTGTTGTAAGGTTGACCAGATGTGTCCGGCTGCATGTGTGTCCCATCCACACTGTCGCTCTGTCAGCCTGACCTTCTGCACACTCACTACTGGATATGTCCCCGAATAAATTCTGTCTTGAAACACAATTCAACAAAATCGGAATTGTGATGAAGAGTTTGATCTTGAGTAGTAACAAGAGGAGCATATATTAGAAAAGGTTCTTGAAACAAAAATGTTTTTCGATGTTTGATATTTTCACATGTAAATCAGAATTAACACAATCACTTGTTAAGGATCCTAAGTATTTTTTTATCAGGTCACTACTTACAGTATATTGTCTATTAATCAACACTGATCAAGGGATCAATAGTTTGGCAAGTTTGACAGTCCAACAATTTCCGTACATGGGTGTCTTCACAAAACAACAAATGTCGGCATTGACATTATGAAAGTCATGAGTTTTCGATGTTGCTAAAAATGAAGCATTTAATAGACATAGATGTTAATAGATATTTGTAGTTATCAGTTTTCAGTTACGGGCTTGGCTTATTGTTTGTGTAAATATCCACACATGTAACTATAGTTTGTGTAAAAATCCACACATGTAACGATATAACTAATTATAATTCTTACACAGTAATGTTGGAATGAATTGATCCACCATGGTTGCTTGTATGACACAATGTTCTTTGTCTGTATTAACCAATCACAAGCTAACATTTCTCTGTGCTTTCAGCAACTCTGCACTGTTGTTGTTTTATCAGTGTTTTTGTTGTTTATTTATTTGTGTGGAGCTCACAGTGTGTTATCACCACGTTGCATCCCGCTGTGTGAGCCCCGCCCCCCTCCCCCTGCATTCACCCATGTCATGTGATGTTGTCTTCTCCAATCAGAGTGGTGTCCTAAAGCACAACACGCTCACGCTGGGCATGCTCTGTCAGGGAAGGGGTCATGGCCAGGGGCGCAGCAGCACTTTGAACTTTAACCTTTACAATAACACTAAGCATGAGTCCCCTGTTGGCCGCTGGCTGCCACTACCTCATCCATCTGCTAATGCCGTGAGTATCCCTCTGAGAACAAACAAACCCTGGTTCTCCTTCTATAACTGCACACATCGGTAATTACGAAGAATAACTGTCATTGCTCATTCCTCATTGTTGCAACCATGACATATTATTTAAATTTGCGCCATTATTGCTTTTATTATTTCGATATAGCTAGCTTGTCTACAACCTTATCGAAACACTGGGTATTATACGCCCTTAACTCTGGCATGTTTTTTTCAACATGACTGAAGCGAGTTGTAGCGTCAAGTGTAGCAGCCACAACTAATTCTGGTGATGGATTGGTTTTTCAAGTGTTTGGACTCAAAAGTAGACACTTACAACATTTTAAGGTAACCAAAACAGAGATTTGTCTTTTCCACCCGAAAATAGTTTCCTTGCCTCCCGAAAATAGTTTCCTTGCAAACTATTGCGAGATATTTCACACATAGAGCTGTTGGGCATTGCATGTCTACATCCACCATTTCTATTACTACCCTTGATACAAATAAAACATAGCCACCGTTTTGACTTAGAAACACTTAAAAGGCCCTGAAAACTCAAACTGGTTCCTACATTGTTTATCGGAGGCTTCGTAAGAATCCCGTTTTGTGCCAAACAGTAATGGTTTTTATTTCACACGAGATTTAATCAAATTATTTTTGTTCCCTCTTTTTTTAGTGTTTGGAAGTGTGTGTGACTTAGTTGAGCCATTCAGGATCCAGCAACATTTGAATCTGAATCTGTTGACAGTTGCAATCAAACCACACAGTCCTGATGAAACATGAGCTGATAAACTCACTGTTGGTTATTTCATCGTGAATATTTACTCTAATGTAGCTGAAAAATGAAGCCAGGCTCTCAGGGGTTGAGACAAGAGGCTTTGGTGCTAAAAGAATGTGATATATTTGGATTCTATTCTGAAAAAGCATTTTTTACCTTTATCAGGTAATACACAATATATAGCGCTACTTCAGCTAGGCGAGAACATCTATTTACTAAGCTGTGTCAGCCCTATGGTATAACAAAAAACTGAATTTCACAAAACAATCATATACACCTGTCTCAGATAGGAATGGGTTGATACATGATTGAATTACTAAAATAAAATGTTGATTTCCAGTAATGGTCAATGTTTCTCTCCTTTTTTTTCTGTCTCTCTCTCAGAGCCCCTCTCAGCAGGCTGCCATGCTGGATAATGACCAGGAGGGATTGTCAGGGAGCAACCAGTGGGCTCCATACTCACTTGGCCGGAGGGATGTCCCACCTGACAACCTCATGAAAAAGGTAAGAGCTGGACTTTTTTCTCAGTGTTCTGCCCTCTTTATCCAGCCTATCGATGTTTGGTATGTTGAAGCTTGGAAATAACTTGGGTTAATGTCTTTAAATGCAAATAATTAGGCGACTCCAATAACCATTCCTCTGTTCCTGAAGTTTTAATGTCTCAAACTTTCCTCTCCACTGTCCACAGAGTGCCCACTCCCACAACACTCCCCACCAATCACACAACACCATGATTGTCGCCTCCTCTACCTCCTCCTCGTCCACTACACCTCATCGTGTGGTTGTGCAGCAGGGCTACGACGGGATGATGAACAAAGGGGGACAATACCAACCTGCGATGCCCTTGTCAGTGGTTCCTTCTGGACAGTATCAAGTTAACATGACTCAAGGTAAATGGAAATACATGTATACATGGTTCATTTGTTGCTTGTTATGATGTATTTGGGGGTTGAATCTAGATATACAAAACAAGTAGGATACCACTTTACATTTTTTTTTTATTGAATTTTGAGGGGATCAGTGCCACCATCTCTTACAAAATTACTTAGAGAGAGATTATGTCTCTTTTCCCCTTTATTTCTTTTTTTTTCATCAAAATGAGGTCATTGTACGTCTTCAAATAATGTATTTGTGCTAGATGTCACTGTTTTGAAAATCTTTAAAAGGATGCTGGTGAAAGAGCATACTGGATTCAAACCATATGTTGGTTTTGTTGATTACAAACTGCTAGCTTCCAAAAGAAATACATACAAAAATCAGCTTAAGCTACTGTTGCATAAAAAGTTGAATTGAAGTCAACTCAGTTTAGAACGTACATCCAGTAACAGCACAGGTCTGTCGGTGTAGAATTAAGTAATCCTACCAACAATGCTCCTCAAATCAACACTTTAACCTGTTATAGATAGTTTTATTTCAGAGTGTAACCAATCAAAAATGTTCCTCTTCCAGGCCATCCTGTTCCTGGACAGGGTTACCCCGGTGGCGGCATGTCCATGGCTCTGTCCCCGTCTGGGAACCAACCCCAGTACAACCCCCACTCCTCCCACACATCCCATCAGCCCGCCACCAACCCCCAGTACCATGGCAACCAGGGCATGGTCCACGGCAACCAGGGCATGGTCCACGGCAACCAGGGCATGGTCCACAGCAACCAGGGCATCGTCCACGGAAACCAGGGCATGGTCCACGGCAACCAGGGCATGGTCCACGGCAACCAGGGCATGGTCCACAGCAACCAAGTCATGGTGCATAGCAACCAGGGCATGGTACACAGCAACCAGGGAATGGTGCATAGCAACCAGGGGATGGTCCACACCAATCAGGGCATGGTCCATAGCAACCAGGCTGTCATGACCCACACCAACCCGCGGCCTCAGAGCGCTCGCTGCCTGTTGCAGACTAAAGGCCAGAAGAGCACGGATGGTTTCCAGGAACAGGTATCTGTCTGTCTGTCTGTCTGTCTGTCTGTCTGTCTGTCTGTCTGTCTGTCTGTCTGTCTGTCTGTCTGTCTGTCTGTCTGTCTGTCTGTCTGTCTGTCTGTCTGTCTGTCTGTCTGTCTGTCTGTCCTCAGCAACCCCGTCCCACACTATCTTGGAGGTCTGTTTTTTAAATTGGCAGTGCCTTATATTAATAGCTGACGATGGCTTGGAGTTACTTGAAACCGTGTTCCACACACTAAATGGTGCCTAGTGCGTCGGTATAAAGATGCTGACGCCCACTCCCTAGGCTTTGGGACTTAACACCTCAAGGAGTGAAACCAGGAAAACAAACCAACAAGTACATTTTTCAATTCCTGTTGTTGTTAATATGCTAGTAACATGTCAATATGGTTACAAGTAAATTCTGAAGAGTCCATATAAGGCCAAAAGCTGTCAACTAACACTATTATAGCTATTAGCACAAAACATGAAAAAACTGCGACACAGCCATAGTTTGTGGGATGATTCAGGTCTAGAAAAAGCCATGGAGGCGTAGTTCTAAATCTGAGATATTTCACAGATGGAGATCTCTGTACCAGTTTAGGTAGGAACATGAAGTCATTCACACCAACCAGATCAGCTGATCTTCCTGCAAGGTTTTTTTCCCCCTGCCAAACAGAAAAACTCAGACAAAGATATTTATGGCTCAGTTAAAACAGGACTTATATTTAGTTATATTTGCCAGAGAACTGAGGACCTCCAATCTAGCTGCAAAAGCATGTTACTTGTCACATTAAAAGCACTCTTCCTCCACTGTAAGTGTTGCATGTGTAGAGATTGTGTTGATCTTTGTGTTTCACCGTCACTTGTCTTTCTTTCTTTTCTGTCTTCCTTTTTTTCCCCCTCCTCTCTCTCTATAGTTGTGTGTGAGAATAGAGAAGAACCCTGGTCTTGGTTTCAGTATCTCTGGTGGCATCAGCGGCCAGGGGAACCCCTTCAAACCCTCTGACATGGTACGACCCGACCTGGCTTGCCAGCCTATCACAGCCTCCCCAGCTTTACCTCAGAGTTGCCATGGAAACTCCTGATAGTTACCGCAGTGTTTTCGTCTGTTTTTCCGCGGGGCAGCAGGTTGACTTGGTTAACTTTTAATCTCATTGAGTCTGTAATCTTAAACTACAGGCTTCTGGGTAGAAAAGGCTTTATTTTATTCATGGAGTGAAGAAGTCTGAGGTGTGATAACAAAATATCAAAACTAAACCTCTTAAATTATAAAATAATTTTCCTCAGCATCACCAAACAGGTTCAAAAACATTATCAAAATGACAACTGGGTTTGGAAAACGGTAACAAGAACTATGCAGTGTCCTCATCACTTTCAGGTCTCTTGGAAAAGAAAGCAACAAACTGGAAAATTGTACTATTAGGAAACGTGCATTCATGATGTTTTATTACCAGATACGCCAGAGTCTTTTATCATTTCTACTCCTATGTTTGTCCGATTTTATCAGTGCCTGTGCCAAGAGCCTTTTGGGGTTGCGCATCCCCCAGCCCTCCTGCATGGCAGTCTGTCCTAGAAACATGCTGCTATAGTCAGACTAAAGGAGCGAGGCTGCTCAAGGAGCTCTGACAGCTATTTTAGGAAGGCTGCTTTCTTTAGTTCTGGGACACCGTGGGTGATCTTAGATTTTCATCACTTTCATCTCAGGACAGGAAGTATCTATGGCAGATTTTACTGACTGTTATTCAGATGTTGAGTAACTGACGAGACAGCTGGTCTTTAAATAGAAAGCCTACAATAAGAGTCAGCCTCTGTGCAGCCAATGTGACAACTGGGGAATTAATTTAAGTCCGGGGGTGTGAAGTGATGATATAGAAACTGTCAATTCATCACTTTGCTTAAGTTTTAAGTAGACATCTTGCGACTCAGTTGCTGACACGTGCAATAGTTTAATCACACCCATCTCTACTTGTATCCATAAAGCTTCCGCCAGCAGCACGTTTTCCATTATTAATGCCATCCGCAGTTACTCTAGTGATTCTCCTTAATATTTTGTCAAGTAATTACCTTACACATAGATTATATTTAAACAAGAGTAATGTATACTGTAGGTCTATACAGACATACTTTATAGACTCACGTTAATACGGATGAATCAATATAATAATACATTTATCACATCAGAGTAAAATGTCTACCTATGCTATTGTACATTGACAATTATTTCAAATGTTGACTGAGTCATGGAAGTATATATGGTTTACACACACATCGAGGCTATTTGCCTTCAAAGTTACACATGAGGAAAAAGCAGATATTGCGAGTCAGTTTATCAAATCTAATTTTAATCATCTTATTCTTGCAACTTCCAACATGTGAAGCTAATTCTTTACGGTTGACTACTTTAGGCTCATTAATCAGAAGCTCAAACTCAGAACAATGCCTTTGATTTTGGTTTCATCATATTTTCTGACCTACTTATTTCTGTCAAATTATATATTACAAAGCTTAAGAATGTTTAAATTGTAAGTTTCTTTTAATTTCAATTAAATGCAGACCAGAGTACAGGTATATGAAGTTAAAAAGACAATGTCACAACAGTTGGACTGACTGTATTCCACATCCATGTTCTACACAGCAATGGCTGTTCCGCAGTACTGTGGCTCTCCCTAGTGGCCAGCTTGTTATTTGCACAATCCTCTGAGTTATCTCGGCTGGATTGGCACACTTGTAGCCTAGCTAAACTGTGTTTTGTTTTAATAATTCACAAACACTAAAATACTGTACTAGCAGCATTAACTTCAAATTGGCTTCAGAAAATGTCAGTTTAATTTTCGCAAACCTTTGATTAAAATCAAGACCTCTATACTTTATGATTCGTGAACACAGCTCCAATATTTCACAATATAAAATGATAATTGTATGTTGTTTAAATGACTCTGCAAACAATCCTAAACTTAACATAATTATTTCATTGCACTTTATTTATAAAAAGTATTTAAGAATATATTTTTCCATAAATATCTACTCTTTTTAGCATCAAATAATCTTGGTCTGACTGTGATTTATAAGTACTAATCATTGCAAGTGTTTCTTGTATAGAGACATAGAAATCTTGCAAGTATAAATTCATATAAATTGAGATTACAAAACACACCTCCAGAACAGTTTCCTTATCATATTGTATCTGACAAGTTGTCTAAGAGTTTAGATCCCTAATCATTTCTCAGTGTTTGAAAATCCTTTGGAAATCTTGCTACAATCCAATATCGGGATTCTGAAGAAGAATTGATGATCTTCTAAATTTGTATCTAAAAGACTAGCTAAGAAACTCCTAGCCGCTGCGTCAGTTTCACTTCTGGCTGATTAGGATTCAGCAAGTGGAGACGTTGACTCAGTTCTTGTATTGACAGGACTGGGATCTCCGGCTTTGATGTATTAGCTTCTCAGGCTCAGTTAAGGAAGAGAAGATGGGGTTTAAGGAGCAGAAGGTTTCAAACATTCAGACCTGGATGTTTTGAAAATCTGTACTTCTATTACCTAATATGCTGTCCTTGCACACTGAGCTGCTGTGGATAGTATCTATCTTTCTTATATGTGTTATCACTGAGCTGCAAAAACCTCTTCCTCAATATTGTCCTGAAAAACTGAAATATTTTTCAAAATTTCCAGAAACATCTGACATTTTGAAGATGGAAGGTTTTTGCAGGGTGCTGCAGCTTCATGTGCAACTGCTTTGTAGTGTGTAACTGTTTAAATGTTGTGATTACTGCTACAAAATGCTCAGCATATCAACAATCACAATTTACAGTGAGCTCCATATCAATTTGTCTAAGTAAATTCAACCACCCACATTTAAACTGGCATTAATTGAATATAATCATGACAAACAAAATGTACCATCAGGTTGTATACACATATGAGGCTCACTGTACAAATGCAATTGTAACACAACTAATACTTCTAACACACACCTCTTTAACATGCAATATATGTGTTTGTTCTTGCTTTCACACACAGACTGTGGTATGAAGGTGCCACTGCACTGTCACTACCACATCTTCCTGTTTCCTGCTCTGTTAAGCTCACTCTTGTATGTTCAACACATGCACAACCTTGTTGAACCACACTGAGTCGACACAGCCGCATCGTCCGACACTTTCTGTGTTCAAAAACATCTTTCAGCTCCCGGTGAAAAGATGTTGGTGTTTTTACAATCTCTGCCTTGGGTTATCAGGGGGAAATATGGGGGATAAAATATCTTCTACCTTCCCCGCTTCCTACTTTAGTTAGTACCCCCTCTACTCCCATCCGCAACTATTCTTCTTGATCTATTTATATATTTACAGCATATCTATTCTACTCTCTTGTTAACTTCATGCCTATGCCAGGTCCTTATCCCTATAAATAGATAAAACAAACATTTTGACATGTGTAATCTATGTCTTTTTGTAGGGAATGTATCACTCTGCCTCTGTAAATTATATTCAAACAATTGAATATCATAATTTGCATGCCTCTCCAAATGTAAAACATGCATTGGTGAAAAGCCCATATCTTTTTGGCAGAAATTTAATATTTTTGGGGGGGCTGGATAATGGAATGAGAATGAGAAAGGCAAAGATTCTAAACCATCGTGTCCCTGTGTTGTCCTAACGGTGTATCATTTTGACTTATAGGGTATCTTTGTTACTAGGGTACAGCATGACGGGCCCGCCACCTCCGCCCTGCAGCCCGGAGACAAGATTCTGCAGGTAACATCCTCTCACTCATCGTCAGACGGGCCACATCCTGCCCTCTCTCCCCTTCGTTACTTTCCCAACCCTTCCCTTATTTTATAAAAAGCATTCGATAGGAAAAACAAAGGAAGTTGTGCTCTTAGCCCAGGGGTCTGCAACCTTTTTGACCAAAAGAGCCATTTTGCTCGTTTTTCCCAAAACATTTTTTGTCTGGAGCCGCAAAACATATTTCATAGCTTGATAGCTAATAAAGTTGTATTTATTGTTATATCAGACAAAAACTACAGTTTTTTTGCATTTATTAGGCTATTTATTACATTATATACAATAAGAAACAAAGAACTCCTATAAGGAGAATTACAAATAATACACAGGCCTACTTTAAAATAAATTAAACACAGCACTTGGGGAGTCCTCTGCACATTTGAAGGAAAACAAAATATTATTAAAATGGGCCCACTTTGAAATAAATAAAACATAGCTGCACCCTAAAAAGAGTTAAAGGTAGGGTAGGTAAGAATGGAGAAACCAGCTCGAGTGCGCTAGAATTTGAAAATACACAACCGGAAAAAATCTGCCTCTTCCTTCAGACTTTCTTACAGAGTCCGTCCTCCAACACACACGAACGCGCATCATCAATGAGGCCACGAGATAAGTTTGTGCACAGATGGAAGGCTGACAGGCAGGTAGGCCATCCAGTTATTTTAGCCGGGCCGGCTAAAATGATTGGTCGTGCTTTTTACAGCGCTACGGCTTCCAGAGATTAATTTTTGTATGTATTTATTGTCAAAGCATTTAATATATTCATTGCTATCGGGACGTTAAGAGCATTGACATACCCCATTGAATTATGACTGAAGATTGTCCAGCTATCTTCTGCTAACTCCCAGTGTTGTCATCTCGATACGTAAAGTAGCTGTAGCATCCTTTGACAACCTTCTCTCTACATATCAAACATACCGGTAAACCAGCACTGCATCGTTTGCTGTGAAGCATACTTATAACTCTGTCCACACCGAATTAAATCCGTGTTACTCCGGTACTTTTCTTTGAATTATCCATAGTTGTCGCTCATCGAGCCGGAAAGGTCCCTATGCGACGAGCGCTCAAGAAAAGGCTTCTGCTATAATAACGGACCATGTAGCAGGATGTGAGCGTATTTTAGTGTCTATCAATGTTTGTAATTTGACGTGTATGATGTCTCTTGAGTTTCCCTCACATACAAGACTTACGAAATTGCGTCGTTTTCATGTAACAGTGTTATCTCAAATATTTCTCACGCTAGAGTATAGAATATTTCAATTCGGTTCGTCTGATCCTGTAGTTTGTCTAAGCTCGTAAGGTACAGCCAGCACAGGAGAGACAATGCGTACCAGCGCATTCGTGGCCTCTGCACAGCTGGCCGCAGACTCCGGCATCGCACGGAGGCGGTACTCCGTGGTATCTGTGGCAAGTATATGCAGAGATGTGGTATGCGTGTGGCAAGTATCTGCCACAGAGGCCGCTACTCCGTGGTATCTGTGGCAAGTATATGCCACAGATGTGGTATCTGTGGCAAGTATATGCCACAGATGCCACAACTTGCCGTGGCAAGTATATGCCACAACTTGCCGTGGCAAGTAAATGCCACAAGTTAAGAGAAGGTTTACGGTAGCTGCCACTCGCCTTCCGTGGCAAATGCTGATATTTAAACCCGTATTTATCGCGTAAAATGTCGCTGTTTTGGCATGACTTTATCGGGCTGATCTGTACACAAGATTGATGATCTGTTACTGATGGTCCGATCTCTATTTTTCAAAAAGATTAAACATTATATGTTCTATAGATTTTACTTGGAGAACGTGGTTTGTTAAAATAAATAAACGTGCTATTTTTATGATAATACTCAAGATATATTATTAGTAAGTTGACATAAAGATCTAACATTGTTGACCAGAGGTGAGAAATAGGCTAACTTGTATACTCAAGTAGCCTACTGTACTTGTGATTTAGAAATAGCCTACTTGTGCTTTAGTTGAGTATGTAAATGGTATACGTAGTAGGCTTACCCCACTACAATTCAGAGGTAAATTGTGTAATTGTAGCCTACTCCCCTACATTTATTTAATACGCTACCTTTAGTTACTTACTACAGATTCTGATTAATGATGATACATATAATCAAGTCTTAAATCAGACTTTATAGTTACTCCTGGAGTAAATTCACAAGATACCCTACTACAGTATACAAAGTCATTAAAACTAGCTGCACCTTTACCAGCTTTGAGAACACATTCATGATCAATCATTATAATGAAAACATGTAATATGCACTTTAAGTATATTGTTATGCTAATCATTTTGCGCTTTTACTTGAGTAACATTTTAATGCATGACTTTTACTTGTAACAGAGTATTCCAACATTTGGGTTGGCTACTTCTACTTTTACTTCACACTAGAACCGCCAGGGGTCGCTGTATAGCCTACCTAAAACCACCAACGTGTCAAATGAAGGATGCTTGATTTTCATCCTTAGAGGTACAATGTTCAGTGTTATGTATCTCATCAGTTCCCATGAGTGCTGCCCTAAGTCTGTGGCAATGTCTAATAACACCATTGTACACTGTGGCTGTGTCAATACGAGATATTTATTTTTTAATATATTTGTCTTTTACTAGTAACAGATACACCTGGTTATCGTGCAAGCAGTGGAAACTCCGCCTTAAGACGCGACAATTGCGCAAGGCTTGCGTTGCAACGCTCACTTGCCAATATTTCTTTTTTTATGACATATTAGGCCTATGTTTAGCCTACTATCATAGATATAGCCACCGTTTGTTTATTTTAGGCAAACCAAGTAGGGCTATTGCAAGTACAAATTGAAATATAAATGATATTTATTATCTTTTTGAAAAATAGAGATCGCACATCGAGTCCTGTGTGCTAGATCAGTCCGATAAGTCATGCTAAACAGCGACATTTTACACGATGGATACGAGTTTAAATATCCAGGCATTTGCCACGGAAGGGAGTGGCAGCGGATACTGTAAAACTTTCTCTTAACTCGCATCTTGTGGCAACTCCCGGTTCAGCATGCGCGAAGCTGCACGGCAAGTTGTGCATATACTTGCCACGGCAAGTTTGTGCTCGTGGGCATATACTTGCCACGGCAAGTTGTGGCATCGCCTTGCCAACGTCAAGTTGTGGCATCTGTGGCATTTACTTGCCACGGAAAGTGTGGCATATACTGCCACGGCAAGTTGTGGCATCTGTGGCATGATCTTGTGGGAGATGCCACAAATGCCAAGGCACATGCCCACGGCCGATTAGTGGCAACACTCATTTGTGTTCTAAGTAATGATAAATAAAAATAACATTGTTACTTGAAAATCAATGCATTCGTCATCATTTGACACGTTGGTGGTTTTAGGTAGGCTATACAGCGACCCCTGGCGGTTCTAGTGTGAAGTAAAAGTAGAAGTAGCCAACCCAAATGTTGGAATACTCTGTTACAAGTAAAAGTCATGCATTAAAATGTTACTCAAGTAAAAGCGCAAAATGATTAGCATAACAATATACTTAAAGTGCATATTACATGTTTTCATTATAATGATTGATCATGAAAGTGTTCTCAAAGCTGGTAAAGGTGCAGCTAGTTTTAATGACTTTGTATACTGTAGTAGGGTATCTTGTGAATTTACTCCAGGAGTAACTATAAAGTCTGATTTAAGACTTGATTATATGTATCATCATTAATCAGAATCTGTAGTAAGTAACTAAAGGTAGCGTATTAAATAAATGTAGGGGAGTAGGCTACAATTACACAATTTACCTCTGAATTGTAGTGGGGTAAGCCTACTACGTATACCATTTACATACTCAACTAAAGCACAAGTAGGCTATTTCTAAATCACAAGTACAGTAGGCTACTTGAGTATACAAGTTAGCCTATTTCTCACCTCTGGTCAACAATGTTAGATCTTTATGTCAACTTACTAATAATATATCTTGAGTATTATCATAAAAATAGCACGTTTATTTATTTTAACAAACCACGTTCTCCAAGTAAAATCTATAGAACATATAATGTTTAATCTTTTTGAAAAATAGAGATCGGACCATCAGTAACAGATCATCAATCTTGTGTACAGATCAGCCCGATAAAGTCATGCCAAAACAGCGACATTTTACGCGATAAATACGGGTTTAAATATCAGCATTTGCCACGGAAGGCGAGTGGCAGCTACCGTAAACCTTCTCTTAACTTGTGGCATTTACTTGCCACGGCAAGTTGTGGCATATACTTGCCACGGCAAGTTGTGGCATCTGTGGCATATACTTGCCACAGATACCACATCTGTGGCATATACTTGCCACAGATACCACGGAGTAGCGGCCTCTGTGGCAGATGCCGGAAGTACTTGCCACTGCCTGCAGATGTCACGAAATGAGCCAGGCCCTACTGCAGAGCAGAGGGCTTAAAGGGCCGCATGCGGCCCGTGGGCCGCGGGTTGCCAACCCCTGTCTTAGCCGGTAAGGGCTATTCTACAAAGACAGGAGAAAGTACTGTTTCCAGCTTCTTAAATATGGAGATTTCCTACTCTTGTTTGTTCTATATCATAATTCAACTGAATATCTTTGGGTTTGGACTGACGAAGCAAGACATTTAAAGACCCCACCTTGGATCTTTAGTAACTACGGTGCATCTTTCAGTATTTTATGACATTTATAGAACAAACGATTAATCCAGAAAATAATCTGAAGATTACTTAATAATAAAAATGACTGTTAGTTGCAACCTGAAAAAAGGTTTCGGCTTGTGTCCATTATCAGGGTCATTATACAGTAAGACCCATCTACATTATCTCATTGTAATTGCTATTTATATGCAATAACTTTGGATAACATTTGGTCATAAACACTAGCAACCTTTTCACATTTATTATTATTTCATTTCATTTCAATCTTTATTTCGAACAGAATAAAAAAATAACCAATAAAAAATAACAAATGTGAAAAACAGAATACCGTATTGTTAAAATACAGTATTTATCCACATTCATGATAATATTTATATATTCAACAACAACAAAAGTCTTCATATTAATAATAAATCATATGTGTCCGAAAAGGAGCTGGAGGAAGCAAATGCTTATTAATTCCCAATTATAAATTGTGAAAAAGCAAACATTACAACTAAACATAAGTGTATTCTAAATACTGTACATCCTGCAGGGTCGCTATCCCAGGGCCAACAAAAAGCTGTTAAAATAACTTCCTGCTTCAGTCAATATGAATCAATAAACAATAAACAAATTATTCAAAAAGAATAACTTAATTTATACCTAAATTGTTGCTATTATTCCAAAGTGCTGAGCCCAAATTGTAAAGATGTTACTGTGAGGTCTAAATGAGGCACATACTTTTTACCATGCCAGATTTAACCCCCTCCTCAACCCCTGTTCCTCATATGTTTCCTCTCCTCTCTCCTCCCCCTTCATCTTCTCTCCACAGATGTACAGTTTAGCTGGATGAACTCATCTAAAAGTCCTTTTTTGTCTTTACCCTTTCTCCCTCTACAGCATGACTGTGTAGCTCCTCCTCTTCTCTCTCTTTTCCCCAACAGTGATGTGTTACTGAGATAATGATGGCAGTGGCCCTCCATCCCTCCACACACACATATAGACATATGTATGGGAATACTGCTGCACACATACCTCTCTCTATACATACCTGCACACACACACATGCTGTTGACCGTGCTGCGTGTTTGCCTTGCAGGCTAACGGACATAGTTTTGTACACATGGAGCACGAGACAGCCGTCTCTCTGCTGAAGAGTTTCCAGCCAACTGTGGACTTGGTGGTTCTGAGAGAAGAATAGTTTTATAACAAACAAACACAACAGCAACGCTTCTCTACTCTGCTCATCGCCATCCCATGCCATCCCACCTGCCCTCCGCTGGAGGCTTGTGGAACTGAAAAATGAGCCGCCTTTTTTACCTTTTTAGGGGAACACAGACATTTATTTGCCTATTGCTGGACCAAAGGCAAATACTAGTGCCAAATGTACCATAGGAAACATATCGACTCCTCTGTCTACCGGCAGTCAGGGATCTGATTGACGGCTGGACAGACCACAAGAAGACACTTTGAGTTCCTACAGGGCTGCTGCAGTTTGGATTTTGTGGTTTGTTATAGGCATCTCATTATTCAGTGTCTACGTTTTTTTTTTTTTTTTGCTTTTCTCCACTGCCATTAATTTAGCTGTCCACGGTAGATTTTTGTTTGGTGTAGCACATGATCCACTTTCCTTGTTCTTCAATGTTCTCTTTGCTTTCTGTTCTATCTTTTGTTTTCTGTTGGTTCTCTTTCTTCTCTTATCTTCTTTTGTTTTCATTCTTTTCAGCTGTCTTCTGTTCTGTTTTGCAGGTATTATTTCCTCCAGTATACAGAAAACTTGTCTGCCTTGTGTACATATATAAAGCTGCAGCTTTCAAGAGCTGCACTTTCCTTGGGGCCTGGAACGACAGCTCTTAAAAGTTTAGGATTAATATAAATATTGTTGATAAACCATATTCTGAATCCTCTCTTATGATCATACAGGGATTATTTCTCCAAATGGACAATTTTTTAATATACCACTGATTTTTTTTATGTAAAGAAAACACTGTTGATAGTTCATTACTGCTACTCCTTTTCTTTATTTCTTTTTTGTAAGTGTTGCTTGCACACCTATGCTGAAAAAAGCTTAAGCAATACTCCTGAGGCTTGGCCCATTGACATTTTCAGCAGAGCCTAACTTGTCCCACAGTGCCATCTACCAAGCAAGTCATGCTAATGTTTACATACACTGCCATGCACATGAGCTAACAGGCGAAACACACATATACAGTAAACTTATGTGCCCCCATACACAACACATATGCAATGGTGCTCAGTGCACTATTCGTAATGAAGCCCTGTCTATACTCGAGACTAATTTTACAATCAATCTCTGTAATAAAACCAGTCAAACTCAAACACTGTAACATTAATCATATTTTGAAGACATGTTTTCTAGTATTGTTACAGCAATGTTACATCATATTTTAGCTGTTTGAGTTGTATGATAAAATCCCAGCATGCTCTTCATATCATTGGTCACTGTCAGCCAGCCATATTCTGTTGGCTTCTAGAGATCTCTTCTCTGTAGGAGACTCTAGATGTATTATAGCACTGAGTTTCAGTGAGACTGATATTCTATCCTTTGTGCCAAATGGACCCTCTGCCCCTCTCTGGTTGTATTAACACAGGCCTGAAACATCAGAGCTTTACCTCTTTGTGGCCCAGATCTGATCGGATCACAGTGAGTAAGGACACTGTTAGTTTTTTTTAACATTTGGCCTGGTATTCAAATCCAAGCATCCACTCTGCTGAGTCCTGACCTCTGGCCTCCCTGAAGAAAGCAACAAGAGTCAGTATTAATACCATCTTAATGGGTAAATCTGCAGCAAATCAGATTTAACAATCAGGGGAAGATCTGATCTGTGCCGCAAAGGCTTTTGGCTACACCTTAAATTTAAGTTTGAGAATCGGATGAGATGCTAGTTATCACTAGGTGAACATGGGAATTTGGATCTGCCAACTTAGATGGTGAATGTTCAATTTATGTGTAGGTAGGAAGAGAAATAATGTTGACTGTGTTGATATAGAAGACATGTTTCTGGAGCAAGAAAGCTCTGTCCTTCATGTTCATGCTTCAGACCCCGAATAGACATGACAGAATTGAACGCAGGTTTAAAAAAAAAAAAAGTTAGAGGTTAATTTCCTGTCTTTGTGTGAATGCAACACATTTCTTGAAGACGTTTCATGACAGTGAGTTTTGTTTTGTTCTGTATAACATCTAATGTTTCATCCAGAGCAAAACAACATACATCACTGTTGTTTGCTTTTACTTGATGTGACAGTGTCATCCTGTGGCCATTTTGTGTCAACCCTCTTAATAAGCGTTAGAATTTAGTTAATTCAATTTAAGGGACACAAAATGGCACAGTGAAGTCCTGTGGGTTAAGAGACTTAATCTTAACCCCAGGTACCCACCCGATCCTATTTAAAGATATTGTGATGAGAACAGAGAAAAAAGTTTGATAATATAATTATTTTTTACTACATGTTCAGGTAATTCTTTCTAAATATATTGATATACCTTAGCTTTGCTCAAAAATTGTGATATTTTATAATAATGACACTTATAACAATGGATGGAAGTACGCACAGTATGACTTGGAGACCTACACATGTACTATCCAAAGCTGTATAAAATGTATTTCTACTGTAATTGTGAATTTGTGTTATACAAATATATATTATATATATATGTATATGACTATAAAAAAAAAGTCATTTTCTATGTGTTTAAACTTCATAAGAGCTGAACAAATGGGCGGTGTCACTGTACATAGCTGTGAATGAAATCCAATTGAAATGACTCATATTGATTGTGAATGTACTCATGCTTTCTGCAGTACCTACCCAGTACACCTACCCAACTTGAATGCTGCTTCTTCTGTTGTGTGACAAAAAGTACTTTGACCTCCGAAGAGAGAACTGCTGTCGAGTTTTAAGTTGGACAAATTTTAGTGACGATTTAACAGAACTATTTATTTATTTATTTATTTATTTGCACATGCAAGTTGAAATCCTTCCAGTTTTAAGTTTGAGTATTAATGCGGAGAAATGTAATTGCAGAAGTATATATAATATATATCATGTGTTTAGAATGCATTTTGCAGACGCTATCTGTACATACTATTTAAGATACAATTTTTACAAAAAATAATATATGTATAAAATAGAAAAAATGCTGTGCAGCAATTATACTGGAGCCATTTTGGGCTTTGGGACGTACCATTTTTTCAGTATATAAGAAGTGTTTTGAATAATGTACTAAAGTCTCTATTGTACAAATAATAAAAATGTCACTATTGGTAATATGGGTTCCTCCTGTTGAACTGAGCTCTTACTAGAGGGCGGAAAAGAGGGATATCTCTCTTTCTGTATTTATTTATGCCTTATTTCCATAGAAAGAGGAAGAAAAAAACAGGGGGGGTCAGAAAAAAGAAGAATGGGAAGGGAGAAAATAAGTCATTAGAAAATAAGAAAGTAATGAGGGAATTATGTTCTTCGAGATGTTGAAAAATGTTGCAAATAAAGAGAAAACGGGCAAGGCAGGAGCCCAGATTAAGAAAGGAAATACAAAAAATAAAGAAACAAAATGGGAGAGAGGTAGAAAATCACTGAAAAGAAAGGGATGAAGTGATACAAGAATAAACAGAGATGAGTAGGACAAAGAAGAGAGGCACAGTAAAGGGGATGAGCTGAAGAAAGTAAATTGGAGAGTGATGACAATGGCCTTAGAAGGTCTGTAGGACATTTAATTTTCCTCTGCTTCTCTGTGGATTAAAGTCTGTAGAAGCTCTCAGCAGATGCTCTTTTGTCTCTCTGTCCATTAGTCTAACAGCCTGACTCTTCTCATCCCTCTATATCTGTCCATATCATCTATTTCTTGACATTTATCTGAGCCGTGGATTACAGAAGGACAGTCGAGCTTGTCAGTCTGACTCAAGAAACAGATAAAAAAAACAATGAAAAGGTCTGGCATATTGTGGTAAGTATTGTGTATTAAAATCATATGGATTTTGCACACTGGACATGCAAGAAAAAAGTGTCTGTCATTGATTGATTATAATTACATATGGATGTTGGCTGGACACAGAACTGGAGCTTGTTCATGCGTTCACAGAGTCCTAAACTAGTTGTGATGTTTGTATGAAAAGTGTAATTGGTATGATGAGAGATTCTTACTGCTGTCTACATCTGTATTTCACAACCAGCCTTGATTCACAACCGTATCATTCATTGATGGACTATAATGACAAGGAAATTAAATAGTTAGTCAAGTTTATGGCCAGTTAAGACTTTGTCCTCTGACTTTACACCACCCATTTTACAAGCCAATATTTTGATTATTACTTGACTACTTTCATGCACTTAAATGTGATTTATTGGTAACGATTAGACTGAAACGTAAGATCCACATTAACCAGCTTCAACAATACAATGATGTTGATGCTGTTGCACATTATTAGGTATAGGCATAATAGTCCCATAAAAATAAGCCACATTTCAAAATGAGGGTTTTAACCCTTATGCTGTGTTCGGGTCTCCCGTGACCCGTTTCAAGTTAAAATTCTATAATAACTACACTCTAGTTTTTTTTATCGGGACAAGGCTTCATGATATCCTCCACAACAGCTATATAAACACTACAAAACTGATTTTGAAAATGTTTGCCAAGTCTGAAGGTTTCTAAAAAAAAAAAGAAGTATAATATGGTGTTCGGGTCTGGGGAGACCCAGCAGAATTGTTTTGGGTGACTCGAGGTCAAATTTGGCCCAATCAAGATTCATCTTTGACTTTTGACACCCCAGCCCCACCCCCTTCATCCACTGTAACAAGAATCTTTCGCAACATGCACCTGCTCTCTCCTCCCTCTGCGCCCCTCCCCCCACGGGAACTAGACCTTTCTCAAATAATATGTACACTAACACTTGAACCTGAACACACATATGCACGTGTGCAATATGTGGTGTAATGTGTTTTGGGCCATAACATTAAATTACAACAGGATTGTATGGTTATGATGAATGCATAATAAGTTAGTTATGATGTAGTTAAAACAATATTGGATGATAGTAATTTTTTGTGTATGTTTTGGACTGAGATAAATCATGGGTCAAAATTAAACCGTGAACACCATGAACGGTAACAGCTTTTGAAAAGCACACAAGGGTTAAGTATGTTTTGTTGATGTAATGTCTGTACTTCTACTTTCATGCATGGAATATTACAGTGATGTTTTGTTACTTTTATTTATGGATGTTCTTATAAGAAAGGTGTCACTGGCTGATAATTATTTCCTCTATCTGTGTTGTACCATTCTCTACTGGCATCATCGCTCTCAGTAGAACAGCTCTGCTTACGTGTTGGAGGAGGACAATTAACAATAGAGGGTAATAGTACAAACACAAACACATGCATTGATGAAAGCAGAATGACTCCCTTTTGTTCCCTTTTACTTTATTCTGTCTTTTACACACTGCTTTGAACAAAAAGATACTTATTTGTGCCGTCTGACCAACCCACTTCCATAATCATGCATATATTTCTCCCCACGCTGGCTCATTATTTATGAAGGCATCTGTGTGTGTGTGTGTGTGTGTGTGTGTGTGTGTGCGTGTGCGTGCGTGTGTATGTATGTGTGTAAAAGATACAGAGCGAGAGTTTTTTATGTGCACCCACCAAAGCTATCAATAAGCTCTTGACCTGATCAATAACAATACCAGAGACTGACTGCATGACCTGCATTCAGCTGCTGTGTATAGGCTGTGTGTGTATGCAGATTAAGCAGTCCTTTAACAGTACAGGCTACAGACAGACAGACAGACAGACAGTATATTGTGTCCAACATGCAGGATGGAACTGATCGTTCAGCAGTGTTGCATTGCCACACTTTACTTTACTTGAACAAAAGTTAGCTTCTCCAATGCCAAGGTTGGATTTAGATTAATATGTTTCATAAAAGTTTAAATAGTAGTCTAAATATGCCGCTGATACAAACGACAGAAAATATGCACTCACACAAATAGGGGAAAACACTTGCTTGCTCTGTTTTCCACAGTTTGAAAAGAAAAATCAATATCAATTTCCTCTCTGTTCGTCCAGTGCACAGGAATGTATTTAACATACTGTAGTTTAATACAAGTATGGGGAACCAGTTAGCTTAGGGGGATTAAAGTAAAACTACATATTTAGTACAAAGGTACACTTTGTATTTTGTATCCACAAGTGTGAAAATATATATTGACACGTTATAGTTATAGTTTAGCCCATTGACATGAACACATTCAAAGTCCTGACTGACAAAACACAGCTTAAGTATAGATGTGGAGGTGACAATTTTGGAGTTGTTAAAAGACATATTTTTTAGCTTTGATTCATCAGATTATCAGATGACTAGAGGACAATAAGAAAACGTGGGTCATAGTTTTGTGAGAAAAATTGAGTTTACTGTTAGCTCTTATGCTGGGAGATTCCAATGGTTTCAAAGTAGGAGTTTTGATATACAGTGGCATTGGCAATTATGTTTGCTAAAGTGTATTGAATACATTTTTCACTGGGCCACTTCTGTTTAACAAGACATGGATTTTGGTATTCTTTCATTTTGTAGGTCCACTCCTTTAAGAGGTATCGTTTTGGGAAAACTAGGCGCTGATATTTGGCATGGATCTAGGCTGGGAGATAGGAACAAGCCTAGTACAGAGAAGCTTTTAATCCAATCAACACAATACAGCTGTTTACCATGACAATACTACCAAACTCACACAGGGTAGACCTGCCCAGGCAGATGGTGGGATTACACCTGTGACGTTGAAATTGGAGCCCCCTAATACAAAGGGGCGGTTCTAGGGGGGGCCAGGGGGGGGGGCAGTGCCCCCCTATCACTGAATTTGTGTGTTGGATAAAGGTGTCCAACAAGTAACATGTAATGTAATGTATCTGAAATAAATATGTGTACTGAAACAAATACCAATAACTGTATTGCATAGTTTTCTTATCATAGGCGGCACCAAGGGGGGCGCTAGGGGTGCTGCAGCTCCCCCTAGGATAGCCATAGCACCACCTAAGCACCCTCGAGAAATGTATTAATTTTTTTATTTTTATGTGTGAAATTCATAATTTGAAAAATGATTGATTCGAAAATAATATGCTACAGTACAAGTAGCCTACTTCTGGGTCTCTGTGTTTCATTCAATCTCTGCTCTGTGTGTTGCACGAGCCATTGTGTGTGCGTGCGCGAGCAAGAGAGAGTGCGCAATGGTACCAGAGATCGTTGTGGTTAGCATCTGGTGCTAGCTAGCTACGCTAACGGATATAAGGAGCTTTTTCAACAACAAGGTGGAGGGAGAACTCTCTCCTGTCAGACTGAGAGTCTCAGATAACATTAGCTCAGGTGAGCTAAAGGACTCTCTCAGTGTTTAGATAGTTAACTTTAGTCTAAGTTATCTCAGTGGGTCTCAAACGTTTTGGTCACGATTAACGTTAATAAGTATTTCTGAGGCACACATTTATATGATCATTATAGTTGTAAGTTAATCGTGACCAAAACGTTTGAGACCCACTGAGATAACTTAGACTAAANTCGCAAATATATTCTATGACGGACTTTTTTTAACAATGACGGAAAAATCTGAAAGCAGTCCGTCATTTTGACGGATTAGAAAAAACTCAGAACAGCGCCAAAGGCCGCAACCTCCATCCTGAACAACAGATCTATAAGCCTTCTGGGAGTTTATGCTTTATGTTGTGGCGCGCTCCCATGAGGTGCAGTGGGCATGCATAACACACGGCATAACACCGGCGCTAACAGTTCACTAGCACGAAAAATGCTATTGAGCGTGCACTTGAACATTTTTGAGCACAGAGAAATGTATGTTCTCTCATAAAATTCCTGCTCCGTGCGCAAGCAGACTGCTGCACGCGCTCTCTCTCCCTCGCTCGCTCGACCTCTCCACCCTGTNGTCCACCCCCCACTTGTAAAAATAGCACTTTACCCCTGCTTACACCTATATGCCGTGAGCTGATTATCGAGCCTTCATTGTAACAGTCGCGGGTGTACTGTGTATGTGTTTGTGGGGAGTGTTGCAGTAGAACATTTCACTGGAGCGCCCGGTACCTTAATGGGAAACCCTACATGTTTGAGCAACCTCTATGAAACGTCAAACTACCCCACAGCACCCCCAAAAGAAAATCTCTGGCGCCGCCACTGTTTCTTATGCGCAATGACTTCATACTGTCTTTGTCGTCCTGCATTTATTGTGCCCCCCTCAAAAAATAACTGGCCCCAGCCTGTCCCCCCCAGTCAAATTGGTCTAGAACCGCCACTGCTAATACACCTTACTTTTTGGATTAAGGTAGTGTTTTTGTGTATTTGTATGTGACCAGATAGACCAGATGCAAACAAATTCCTCCTTCTTGCTGTAATATCTGACCACACCTATTCATCGTATCTGTGCCAATTTAGTCAACACGTGCTGTATGGAAACTACCATAATCAGAAGCAGCATAAAACAGAGGGAATAGGGGAGGAACGGTTAAACATATCTGCCTCTGGGAGACCAATCAGTGTTTGTAAACCTAAATCTATACTCAGAGCTGAGTGGATTAAAAAAGATGTAGGCTAGGTCCAGTGTTTGCCCTGGAACAAACCTGGCGTTTATATGCTCTGCACACTAGCTTTTTAACATGACAAAACACGATGACAAGCAGAGACCCACAATAGCTATTTTGTGTTTTGAGGTATGTGCTTCAGTGTGTGAGTCTTTTGGGGACTCTTTAGTGTGTGAGTATGTTCGCGCGCGCGTGATTGTGTGTTCATCCGCCAAAAAACCGGTCCGACGGCGTGTTGGAGTCAAGTCACCTGAATGAAGAAATGGACTGCATTAGCTTTTCCAAAGCCAGACAGAGAGGAAGAGTAAAAAGTGAAAGAGAAGTAGAGAAAGAAAACAAGCTCCGGGTACTAAGTCCACGCGGTGACTGTCAACGTTTGATACCAACGCTTCATTTCTTCCTCCGCCGCTTTGACGGCTTTTCTTGGACTTAAAAACACCTTGAAAAAGCATCCCTTGTGATTAAAAAGACAGGTGGGTGTAGACGGTTGTGGTGTCAGTTTGGTCTCCCAGTTTGGAGGCAGGCTGTCCCGGGACAGACACACACATCTGCATTAACAGAGACTATCACATCGACACAGAGACTTGCCCCCGTGAGAGGAAGGACTGAGCGTGTCACCATGCCTGTGCGACAGAAAGGTAAATAGTTTTGAAGTGTTCATCTTTACTTCCGTAATGTATTCCACCACATATTTTATGTTGACAAACAATATATAAAACATAGGTTTTTACAGCTCTGAAAAGGTTGCGTTGACGTCGCTTTAACTCAACGAAGCGCCCTTGATTTCGCGAAACTTCACTAACAAACCGTCAATTTAACGCTGAATTGTTAATTGTTGCACTCACACATCGTATATCATATATTATAAAATATTTTACTTAATATTAACACACTGTGGTAAATTCGGCATCCAAGTTATCCACCCACGTTAGCATTTTTACAAATCTGCTTAATGGTATGCACTGCAAATATGGGGAATTCAGCTCAATTTTGTTGACTTTGCCTATAGTTGATTGAATGCCGTATTACAGTAAAGTATGGCAATGAAATATAATATAATATATGATTCATATCTGAAAACGTTCTGCTTGATTTATGTGGTTGTATAGACTAAGCCGAACGTAAACGATCAATATTACATGGGCAGACTGTTTGGCATTCAAAGCAAGTTGCATTGGTTACAGTTAGATGCAATACTCTCAGTGCTTCCGGTTTAATCAGCTGTTCAGTGTGCCATAGAGCCTGGAATGTAGTCTGTTCCTTCTTTCACACCAGACTATTTTGCCCTCATCTCCCTTAAAAAATAAATAAAAAGCCATAATAATAACACGTAATAGTTGGTCCAATTTCACATAATGAAGATACAATAACATACAATAAATAGCCACATTTCCTCTGTTTGCTTTGAAATTAGACTTGCAAATAAAATAAAACACTTAATTGTTCCGCTTTATTGTAAAATAAGGGTAAAACATGCACATTAAGTCCCCCTTTTTTGAGCAAACAATTGCTACAACCTTGCAAAGTACTGAAAGAAGAAATGCTTTTCATTTTGAGTTGCTGTCAAATTTGCACGGCATGTCAAACACTTAACAAACTGGAAGTAGCTGAGACAGAAACCGAAAGAAAACATTCTTCAGGCACACCTGTGTCCACACTCACTATTAACGGAGCTAGATATTATCAATCTGTTTTAGCTTCACCCTGAGGAAGACCTTGTGAGGTCTGAGTTTTTAACCATACTAATCCACAATTAATGGAGGCTTATAATGCACATTTATCTCCTTGCTCTACTTAAGAGTGCCCGGAGAGTTGTATCTTAGTCATTACTCATGGGGAAAAAAAGGTTTTAGTTATTTACATGTATATTTTTTATATTTAGATGCTCAGCGAGCCCTGGAGCTTCTACAGCAGTACCGGACTAAACTTGACCAGAGACAGCAGAACCAGAACCGGAGCAAACAGGGCGGCGTGGAGGAGGACTCGCAGCTGCAGCAGTCTCTGGACAGAGTCATCAATGTCTTCCAAAGTCAGCTCTTCAGTGCTCTGCTTGGTAAGGACATCAGTTTGGATTTTCAGATACGCTGCCCGTGACTTTTCCTTTATACATCCATTGAAAATGACATGTGGTCATCCAGGCAAGGCCTACCATTGAAATGATGGGTCAAAATAGGGAAATTGTCAACTAGGTCACCCAGTACTGTAATAACTATAGTAACTTAGTTGACATGTAACCTAGTTGACAATTTGTATGACATGTAGACATCATTACACATCATTATCAATGGAATTTTGCACTTCTGCCTTGAAATGAGCATAGTGCTGATGGTTAATAATGTGTCCAGTCAACTATGTTATTTGCGTCAAATGTTTGACTTTCATTGTCAACTATGTTGCACCTCATTTTTTCCAATTTAAAATATCTAAAATAGTGCTTAATATAGTATAATGTATATCTACACAGGTTGGAGTTTTACATGACATCAAAATTACCTGTATGGTAGTTTTATAATACAAAATATCCCTATCCTTAATGACAGTGCTAAACATATCACATGAAAAAACAAAACTTTAATACAATTATTTTTTAAACTTTAAAAAATCTTTGGATATACAGTATGGTAGAATAGACTCAAGAGCCTTTCAAATTTGATTTTACTTGAAGTGCAGGACTTAATCAAATGATTGCAATGACATCAAGTTTGTCCGTAACATAGTTGACAAACTGAGTAGTGAAAACATCCTTTCCCTTAAAATAAAATAAAATAAAAAAATGTTTAAGCTTTGCAACTAGTGGATATGTTAAACTGAGGAATATACTAACTTGAACCACTGATTGTTCTATTGAGAAAGAACACTTTTTTTGTACTGTTTTTTTTATGTGAAATGCACCCTAAATTATAGAATCAGTCTTAAGCTTCAGTTAGCCTTTATCTGCTGGTTACAGTCAATAGTCCCATAATATTGAGTCCATCAATAGAAGGTGTTAGCCAAATATTTGTGGTAATTGATTTGATTGTTTTATGCAAAAATGTCAGAAATATCTGTTGTCAGCCTCTCAGATATAGAGCCTTTCTGTCAGTATATTAAACTGAATATCTCTGGGTCTGTGACTGACAAAACGGGACTTTCAAAGACACAACCTCGGAGAAACTCAGACGGACATTTGTCATTATTCGTACATGTTATAAATAAGACCATAATACAAGCACATATATTTCAATAATGAAAGTAATTGTTAGCTGCAGCCCTTCTGCTGATACTTGCATGTGAAATGTTTTTATGAGTTTTAACATTTAAAGTGTCTTTGAGTACCATGAAATGTATTATTATTATAAATATGTAGAACATCTCTGAAGCCCTTTTTAACGTAAGCTTTAATTGCACTATTTGTATCCATGTTTTGCACATTTGACTGCCGCTCCATTTTTACATTATATTAACAGAGAATAAGGAATTAAAACCAGCATAGTTATGTTCGAGAAAAGTGTTAAATTATCCAAATCATGTTAACATATTAATTTTCCTCTAGGTTAAGATGGGGACACACTTTTATCTTCGCTGTAGGCAGTTTTAACTGGGCTGTGGTTTTTGGAAAGAGATTTTAGTTAGCTATTTCAAAAACCTTGTCGTATAAAACAGAAACTGTCTATATTACTGTATGCCAATGTTTTTTTTGTGACCCTTTAGATTTGTACTTGAGAGCTGGTTTCCAAAATAAGTTTGAAAGCTCTGTGTTGCTATTGATAGCTGCTTTTATGTCTTTACCATTGACGGAGGGGTGTAGTTTTTCAGTCAGGAAGGAAACTATGTGTTTGGGATTCAATATGAAGGCATGAAGACAGATTGGCTTTAGTGTTCTTTTGTCCAGATAAAGCTAAGGAGGTTTGGCTTTTGTTTGACTGACGGCCCTCTGATCTTTTGAGAAGGACAGGAGCGCGGTGGTGTCATAGTATTCACGGTTTCTACTATAACTTGTGCTATCACATGGCTTATTTTCACCAGAAAATTGAGATCAGATCATTACCATGTAGGCGTGATGTGGCCTGTCACAGCAAACACTGGGCCCCTTTGTGGAAAGCCTGCATGCATTTAGTGAATGTGTTGCAAGTATAAATTCCTCCCAAGAGTTAACAGCTTGTGTATAACTGGTTTGATCCGCTTGTTGTGAACTAGTGTCATGTTGTTAAACAAACTGGTTCTCTACCTGCTTTGTGCCACGCCCACACCTTTAGTTCCTACAGTAACGCTCCTCTCCGTGTGTGAGCATGTATGTGTGCTGTTTAGTGTTTTCACTAAACAGGGCACTGCAATCCTGTATGGACTTTGACCTTTAAATCGAGAGTATTTCATGTTTAAGCTGTGTCTTAAAACAACAGCACTGTCTTTTTTTTCCCTAGTATTATTTATCCTTGACTTCTTATGTCTTAAATATGTTTGGCCTATTCTGTATGTAATGTAATATGTTTGAACATGTTTATTTATGTGTGTGTGTTACTGTATTTTGTTCCCATCCTTGATGCCTGTGGTTATTTCTATGTATGATACTGTTCAAATCTCTCTTCACTTCATTCCCCTTTTCTCTTCACAAAGCATCCTTCAACTCTCTGTATCTTCCCTTTCCTCTCCCCAGATACTGCACCTCTGTTTTTCTTCCTCTTCATCATCTCTTTATGACCACTTAACTTGTTTGTTTTAGCAGTCTGAGCTAACCATGTGTATGATGTAGTGCAGAACTGTCAGTTGTGTATGCAGAGAGGAGAGGGTGAAACCATAAATCATAGAAGTTAATCTAATAGGGTCCTTGTTTTATCTTTTACATTGGGAAATGACAATATACTTAACTAATTCTCTTTGAAGTGGAGAACTGTGACTACTTCAGGAGTTACTGTTTAAATAAATATGGTGGCAGTATCATTGTGCTTCCACTAGAGGTCAACAGTGTATAGGCATTTTCTCCACCAATGTACTAAAGCCTCTGAATGCAATCTGCATATACAGCAGTGATTACGGTTTTCTACTGAATTGGGAACAGCTTCACAGAGCTGCAACTGATTTTAATGTTTCGATCGATGTATTGTGAAAAAGAGATCTCCTTCTTACTGAGCCCAGATTTTGAGGCTTGTTTTTTTATTCATAAACAACCCAATATATCTATAGTTCATAATAATGTAAAACAAATAACACCTAAGTCTGGGGACGATTAAACCAGAAACTGATTTGAATTCTGAGTGAAAAATATTGACAGATATACTAATCATTAATTTAATAGCTACTTAACCTTTGAATAATCATCCCATCTCTTCTGTTTTGTATCCTTTGGAGAACACATTGCCTCAGTGTGCCTGATATTTATTCAAATAGTCATTCATTCGTGTAGTTTTATAATAAGTAAGTCTTTATTATTACTGTCATACATGCATCCCTTTAAAGTGTCATTACTTCATTTACAAAACCACTTAACCGTTCATTCATTCCTCCTGGCTCTAATCTATTATTTCGTCCTCCCAGACATCCAGGAGTACTACGAGTTGACCATCCTCGCTGACAGTGACAGTTCTGTGGACCAGACAGCCGGTCCCTGGAGCCTCCCGGACTCCTATAGCCCCCCAGCAGAGCCTTCTCCCCAGCCACAGCCCCCCTTGGTTACCCTGAGCCCCCCAGCTAGTGAAGGATCATCCCCACTAAAACCTCTGTCCCCCAAGCCCAGGTCGATCAAGTCCCATGCTGCTCCACTACCATCCGGGACACCCACATCAAAGCCATCTTCCCCTACAACACAGCCTGTTTCACCGGAGTCACAACCAGCCAAGCTCAAGTATCGTGCTCCTTTCCCTCCTGTCCAACCAGGAGTCTCCAAATCATTGGCGTCTGATTCTCTGCCCTCTTCTCCTTCTGCTGCCACATCCCCCGGAGCCCCAGTGAATGGTGTAGAAACCCCCAAATGCCCAATAAAAAACCCTCCTAGATCAGCACTGAATGGAACAAAGCCTCAACTCACTGCCACCAACTCTTATGTTTCGGTGGCAAGTTCTACCTCCTCCACAATTCCACAGAGTGATTCCACCTCTCCGGACCCCAACCTGAGGACTGTCTCGGCCCTCGTCTCCAGCACCATCGAGAGCTTTGTGTTTCCAATTTCTCCGGACAAACTCACCCCAAAAAGCGGCAGTCCTGTCACCAGCCCGGGTCCCATCAGAGTCACAGACGCTGTCGTAGTCTCCACATCACCTTTGACCACCAAGGACTTAGGCTTTGGCAAGGTCACTCCCAGCACGAGTCCAAGCAGCCTCAACCAGGGAAAGTTCAGCTTCAGCAGCCGCAGTCCCAGAAGTCCTACAGACTGCCAAGGCACAC